CTGGGGATTCGAACCCGCCACCTTAGGTGTATGTGGCTGGCGCCTTAGCCGCTTGAGCTACAGGTGCTGAGCCGAGTTCTTGTATTTTTTTTCTGAAATTTTTACTGACTTGTTTGAGAATGAAATCTTAGGATTTAGAGCAATGTTTATGAACTAAAATTGATTTATGTTCTGCTTTTTTCAAGAGTAAAAATGGGTGGATATAATGCTACAGATATTTGTTTAAATCAATTGGGGAAAATTAAAAAAGATATTCTGAAAATAATTACATATATTTACCTGTTCCTGGATGTTTAGAAATTAGAGCTTTAGCCAATATTGTGCCCAGTAGCTTTGAAACTGAAATCCGCACATCATAATTGGAACCTTCGAAGGCCTTAAAACATAGTGTGGCCACGCTGTCCAGGTCTGTACTCCACATGAAGATAGCCTCATTCTGAAGTTCAAGGAGACACTATCCAATTGGACAAACAGAAATTAATGACAAACAAAATATAAATGTCAGGTACAAATCTATATAAATTACATAAACTGTCAGAGTCTAATAAAATAATAAATTCAAAGTATCTGTATAATGACTGCAGAAACAACAAATGAATATTCACTAAAAGCCATAAAGATTAGACTATATAAGGCGATATACATACAAAAGGTGGGAGGACCCATCCCTAACGCAGTGCACTATGAAAAATGCATTTAGAATCAATCTGTTAGTTATAAGCAACTAGGAGAATAATACCAACCTAAAAAAGTGTTGTTGTACTATCCGACCAGCCATGTCGAGAAGGTATGATTTCAAACTATCGAAAAGAATCACTTTTTATGGCTCACACCTGTAATCCTAGCACTCTAGAGGATGGCAGGATCCTTGAGGACGCTAAGGTGGCAGGATCACTTGAGCTCAGTTAGAGAACAGTCTGAGCAAGAGTGAGAACCACTCTACTAAAAATAGAAAAAAGCTAGGTGCAGTGGCTCCAGCTTGTAATCCTAGAACTCTGGGAGGCTGAGGTGGGTGGACTGCCTGAGCTCACAGGTCCAAGCCTGAACAAAAGCAAGACCCCGTCTCTACTAAAAACTGAAACAAGAGGATTGCTTGAGCCTGAGTTGGAGGTTGCTGTGAGCTATGATGCCACAGCATTCTACCTAAGGTGACAGTTTGGAAAAACAAAAATTAGCTGGGCCTAGTGGTAGTATGCACCTGTATTCCCAGCTACTTGGGAGGCTGAAGAAAGAGGACCGCTTGAGCCAGGAGTTTGAGGTTGTAGTGAGCTATGATGATGCCACTGCACTTTACCCAGGGTAACAGAACGAGACTCTGTCTCGGAAAAGAACCAACAACAAAAAATCACTTTGAAACAACATGCACCTTATATGTAAATTTCAGTTTACACAAATTAATGGAGAGGAAGCATAATAGAGCAACTTCAGAGTTTGGAAATGAATTTACTACCCTCTGACAATATGTTGCTAACTACATGAACTTTGATAAAGTTATAAAACTCTGGGTCTTCAGTTTCCTCATAAGCTAAAACAGATAGATAGTTCTAGCTGATTACCAAGATGGCAGCTCTGAGATCATGTAGCTGTTCCTAATACTTTTACAGAGACAATCTGATTATTTTTCTTTTTATTAATTTTTAGAAAGCCTACTTATTAGGTCATTTTACCTTTGCAGCAGCACAACGAACAGCCATGGATCTATCTGTCAAGCAGGATCTAGCAGCTTTATAAATATCCCTGTGGCAAGGTGTAGCAGCAGCTCCTAGTCCCCTCAATACATTTTGTAGACTCAGCATAATCTCATATCGACCTTGAGACTATTAAAAAAAAAAATTAAAGATTAAACAGAAAAAATAATTCCACTGTGAATAGCATTAAGCACTGATTGATATTTATCTCACATATTGAAGAAATACCCAGATTTTGGTGCATACTCAACCCATTCTCACATTGAGAAACATTAACAATACTATTTTATTAAGCATCTACTATCTGAGCTTAGGTGCAGTAAATCACTCCTATAGTCCTTGCACTCTTAGAAGCTGAGGCAAAAGGACTGCTGGAGGCCAGGAGTTCCAGACCAGCCTGAGTAAGAGCAAGACTACATCTCTATAAACAGAGAAAAATTAGCCGGGTATGATAGTGCATGGCTATAGTTCCAGCTACTTGGGAGGCTGAGGCAGGAAGATGGGTTGGGCCCAGGAGTCTGAGGTTGCAGTGAGCTATGATAATGCTACTGCACTCTAACCTGGGCAATTACATTTCAACCCAATTTTTAGGTTCTGACCTAGAGGGAGCCCGCCCTGGAGCCTGGCTTATACCCTCATACCTGATTGACCTGGCCACTTGGCATACTTGCATCCACAGCAACCCACACTTCTTCCTCAAACTATATGTCACCTTGACAGACACCCCACATCCAGGCCCTGCACAATCAGAGCACCTGTCTCTACACCATGTGACTCATTGCTTTGACACTGCCTGTGCTAACTGCTGCCCATAAACCCTGACTTGGCTGAGGTGGAGAAATGCCAGTGGTCATCTCCATCAGAGACACTTAAAAAGTTTCATATCAAAAGAAATTTGGTTCTTGGGTAGTGCCTGTGGCTCAGTGGGTAGGGCGCTGGCTCCATATACTGCGGGTGGCAGGTTCAGACTCAGCCCTAGCCAAACTGCAACAAAAAAAATAGCCAGGCATTATGGCAGGCACCTATAGTCTCATTTACTTGGGAGGCTGAGGCAAGAGAATCGCCTAAGCCCAGGAATTGGAGGTTGCTGTGAGCTGTGTGATGCCACAGCACTCTACCGAGGGTGATAAAGTGAAAATCTGTCTCTACGAAAAAAATAAAATAAAATAATAAAAAAGAAAAGAAATTTGGTTGTCACTATCACAGTTCCGTGAAATAAGATGACTTGAAAACCTACCTGACTTACTTGCACAAACATGGTTTGATTGCGCATTAGAAGGAGCGGAAAGATGGCTGCCAATTACATTATTAAAAACTGTTGATGGGTGCTGGGTGCAGTGGCTCAAGCCTATAATCCTAGCATTCTGGGAAGCCGAGGCAGGTGGACTGCTTGAGCTTAGGATTTGAGACCAGTCTGAGCAAGAGTGAGACCCCATCTCTACTAAAAATGGAAAAACTAGACAGGTGTGGTAGTTTATGCCTATAGTTCAAGCTACTTGACTTGAAAACCTGCCTGACTGGTTTTCAAGTCAAGTAGCTTGAAAACTACTGAGGCAAGAGAACTGCTCAAGTCTAGGAGTTGAGGCTGCTGTGAGCTATGACACCATAGCACTCTACCAAAGGTAACAGAGTAGGACTTTGTCTTCAAAAAAACCAAAAACAAACAAACAAAAAAAAACTGTTGATGACATACTCCAATTTTTATCAGGTAATGTGGTACATATATAGTTAGAGGATCTAGACTTTTTAGCAATTTTTTTGTTTACTGAAAAAGATAGGAAATCATGAAGGAAGGTTAAGAAATTTTACCAAATAGTGATGTACAATCGCCATCTTTATACCCATGTGGCTGTTCAAAGTGTATTTATCCTAAGAACTAGGTAGTAAGAGCCATAGTAAGTAGTAGCCGTAGTAAGTAGCCATAGTAAGGTACTGCTTGTTTGCAAGCTGCCTACCTGCAGTAGTCCTGACAAATGATTGACTAAATGTTCTTGAAACTTAAGGAACTTTGTGTCTATAAAAGTAATGCAGTGTTTCTTATTTTAGGTATAATACAGATCTCTCTTATTTTATTCCTTAAACCTAGAAAGTATTAATAATGTTGTTACCAAAACAAGAAAAAATTTTCACAGAGTTTCCAGTGCTATATTGTTTACTATCTCAAAAGTTTAAACAACGTATTCTGCTGCCATTGTTGTTCTATCAAGTGTACTGGCATTTTTTCTTGGAAGTCAAATGATGAGAAAGTTTCAAAAACAAAATATATGCCAACCAGTGAATGATGCAAACATATCAAGGAGGAAGGTAAGGTGAGAATGTATCCTCTGGCCATCAGAAGGTCTTCTAGATCTTAGTCACACTTACATCCTCCACAGTCTTTGCCCCAGTTATATTTCTTATTCCCCTCTGATGCTCGTACAGTAACTAATGCATCCACCAGGTATATAATAATACGTGGTCTACGGTGGCAAGCAACAGCTCTGGCAATAGTAAGTAGTATCAAATGGGAAAGATGGGGTGAGAGGAGGGAACAGGGATGGGTTGGCCAATGGAATACTTTAGTGTTTGCTCATTTGGATTTTAGAAGTCCATGAAATTCTATTGATTATTATTTTTCTAATAGGGATTCAACATACATCCCTTGGAAATAGTTAATTTGTGATATATTTATATACATATGTATATATTTTTGTCATTTGTAAAGTTCCTTTATTGGCCCAAGAAAGCATAAACCTGCAAAATGGGATCTTTTTATTCTTTGGTTGAATTTGTAGTTACTTACCTCTGCACTTTTCATAGCTTTAAGAATATTCCCCACTGTATCAGTAAAGGTATTACCCAGTATTCTACCCAACTTCTTGTACAAGGAACCCAAGCATACCACAGCAGCACTGAAACAAAATTTAAATTAGAAATTAGTGATGGCTGAAAAATAAGAATAAAAAGATCTTAGAACATGTAAGAATATGACTACTAAATTTTTTTTCTGCATTCTGTTTTCTTTTCACAATCTTGGTAGTATTTTTTGAAACACGAATTATTTTTAATTGTGACTAAAAATTTACTGATATTTTCATCACTTTGTTTTTGGTTTTATATCTAAGAAACCACTGCCTAATCCAAGGTCATGAAAATTTACTCCTATGTGGTCTCCTAAGAGTTTTAGTTTTAGCTGTTACATTTAGATCTATGATCCATTTTGAACCAAAAAATTTTATGGTGTGATAGAAAAGTCCAACTTCTTTTTTATATGTGGCTATCCAGTTGTCCTGGCTTCTTTTATTGAAAAAAAAAAATTCAATTTCACTTTGAAAGGATAAAATTTCCCACAATCTACTCTATGGTTAAATCCTAAGACACAACACTTAAGTAAATGTGAAATAATTGTAACAGAACTTTCAATAATAGGACTTTTATAAGGCTATATCAAACTTCAGTCTACCTAAATCTCAGCCCAAAGATTCTAGCCCCTCAAATTTTTTACAAAAACAAATTCTAAAAAATATTTCAGTAGAATCTGGCTTCATATTTCAGATAATCAAAGAAGAACTTAAAAACAAGAAATAATGGTTTCATCAAGTTTGGAATTTAAAAACTTCATGGGCAGTTACACTCTGTTACATGCTAAAAATTAACAATACAAATTTCTATAGAATTGCTATTGTGGAACTATACATGGCTCACTGCCTTTTCCCAAATAATAGGTGATAAAATGAATTAAATCCTACAGGAAAGAAACAAAGTTGTTCTTTTGAGGATCTTAGAAGACTACTTTTCCATATGATATTTATTATCAACTTTTACTGTAAGAACTAATAAACTAAAAGAACATCCAAAATATAAAACAATGAAACAGTATTTCGTTTTTTGTTCTGTTTTAATGTTTAACTTACAGTTTAGTGGGAAGATAACTTGGAGAATCATCTTTGCTACGAATAAGGTCATTACATTTATCGATTGTCTCGTAAACAGAGAATGTGTCACCAATGCTATAAAGTATTGCAAGATTCTTAGCAAGGAGTTTCCGAGTAGGAGGCCCTGGGGAGCTGTTCAACAAAGACAGGAGCTGTTCGACAAGAGTCTTCTGTTTCTCCCTTACATCACGCTGCAAAAAAAGATAACAAAAAGACAAAGTTAACATAATTTATATGTAATGCCCTAATCTGACTTTTCTTTCATACACTTAAGAACAAAAAAGGCTCTAGAAAAACATAAAATGGGGGCAGCACCCGTGGCTCAGCTGGTAGGGTGCTAGCCCCACATACTGAGGATGGTGGGCTTAAACTGGGTCCCAGCCAAACTGCAACAATAAAATAGCCGGGTGCTCTGGCAGGCGCCTAGAGTCCCAGCTACTCAGGAGGCTGAGGCAAGAGAAATGCCTAAGCCCAGGAGTTGGAGGTTGCTATGAGCTGTGATGCCACAGCCCTCTACTGAGGGCGATAAAGTGAGACTCTGTCTCTTTTTAAAAAAAAAAGAAAAAAAAAATATATATATATATAAACGATTTTGACTAAGAGTTACATATAAATAGGTGGCATGGGCATGATGCCACACTAACAGATAATTTGTTGCCCTGCTACTACCTCTTGGGAGCAGGAGTGGAGGGTGGGCTGGGATGGGGATGAATTCTGACCCACACTATACTTTAGTCTTTGCTAACAAAGAGCACTATTTATTCTGAATCTTCTTTTGTTTAAAAGGTTGCTGCTTTTTAATAGAGATGAAGTCTCACAATGTTGCCCAGGCTGGAGTGCAGTGCTAGTCACAGGTGTGATTATGGTACACTGCAGCCTTGAACTTCTTGGCTCAAGCAAATCTCCTGCCTCAGCCTCTGGAGAGTTGGAACTATAGGCATGAGCCACCATGCCCAAATTTGCCTATTTAAAGATTCTTAGTTATTAAGTCTATCTCCCCCATATATATCTGCATAAATAAAATAAACTATACTTATAACCAGAGCTGACCTTGTAATGGTTACCTGGTTTAGTTAGACTTTTTTCTAAATTTAGTGCAATATTCTTTTTTGCATGCTTATGCATACAAATGCTAAAGTTATTTCCTTTTCCTTGTTTGCTATCTAAAAAAGGAATAGAGTATCATTACAAAGCTAACACTATTCAGGCGCTGACTCAGGCTTAAAATTTCACAATAAAATATTTCTCAGTGTATAAAATTTAATCTTTTTCAAAAAGTATTTTTCAAATCTAGACGTTCCTTTTATTTTTTTTTGTCTTGATCAGCAAACTTGTCAAATGTTTTACATCATGATAACCAGAGTCACATAATTCCTCAGACAAAAATGTATTTTGGAATGTTGGGTTCCCCCCCCAATTGAAAAAATATGATTATTTAAATTCTAAATGTCTCCATGATTAGTCTTTTGTATCATTTTTGTATTATGTGTGGTGTTGTGATTATATAAAAGAAATATCCTTATTTCTAGGAGATATATACTCAAATATTTAGAAATAAAATCTTACCTCAACTACCCAGTAAATTAAGCAAAGATGGAGAAACGTTAATAACTGTTTGATATAGGTAAAGAACATGAGTAATCAATCAGTTTTCTTTTTCTGTACCCATTTCATAAACTTCTAAGAGGGAATTTATTTACCCTAAGGTTTTCAATTCATAATCTCCTTAAAGTCTTCACTTTTTTTTTTTTTTGACACTACATTACCCTCAGTAGAATGCTGTGGTGTCACAGCTCATAGCAACCTCAAACTCTTGGGCTTACGCAGCAATTCTTTTGCCCCAGCATGAGGCGGGAACTATAGGCATTTGCCACAATGCCCGGCAATTTGTTTGTTTTTAGCAGGCTGGAGCAAGGTTCAAACCCACTAGCTCCAGGGCATGTGGCCAGTGCCCTAACTGCTGAGCTTCTGGCACTGAGCCAAGTCTTCACACTTTTTCTTTTTTTTTTTTTGAGAGTCACTATGTTGCCCTTGGTAGAGTACTGTGGTGTCACAGCTCACAGCAAGCTCAAACTCTTGGGCTTAAGCAAGTCTATTGCCTCAGCCTCCCAAATACCTGGGACTACAGGCATCCGCCACAACGCCAGGCTATTTTTTGTTGTAGTTTTCATCGTTGTTTAGTAGGACAGGTTTGAACTCGCCAGCCCCTGTGTATGTGGCAGGGGACCTAACAACTGAGCTATGGGTGCTGAGCCTCTTTCTGCTTTATGAACATAGCAAATTTCTTATAATGGTGAAAATGTCAATGGAATGCAAAAATTTTTCTATATTTCATTAAGTCTTCACAAAGTCTAGCATTTTTAAAGGTAACTGAAGTTATTCTGGAAAAAACTAGAAAAGTAAACCAAAGAAACTAACATCTGGCATTTAAAAAACAGGATAGCTTTTGTAATTTTACCCACCCTGTTGGTTGCCAGCAAAAGCTTCTCCAGATATCTCAACCACTCAAAAATAAACTCTGCCTTCTGAACTTCACCTAGGTGACTGTACGCTTCTTCATTCAGCAATAAGCTATGAGCTAATTCCATTCCTTGCAGGATATTTTCCTAGCTGGTCACAATTCTTCTCATTCAATGTCAGTATATTTAAGAAAATCTGCAATAGAGAAAAATAACAAAATTTAAAAGGAAAGTAAAAAGGAAGACAATCATACCATAGAAATCTTCCATAGAAAAGTAAAAATATAACTAAATGTATATATTATTTATAATTGCTCTATGGTCAATCAAGGAAAATCTCGATAATAACTTGTAGTTAATATTGACACAAAAATCCACCTTTGGACTCTGTATTCCTTTTTTTTGGAGACAGGGTCTTCCTCTGTCACCCTGGCTAGAGTGCAGCAGCCTCATCATAGCTCACTGCAACCTTGGACTCAAGCTATCCTCCTACTTCAGTCTCCCAAGTGCCTGGATCTACCCTATGTCTAGCTAATTTTTCTATTTTTTATAGAGATGGGGTCTTAGGCAGGTCTCCAAATCCTGGGTTCAAAGGATACTCTGCCTTGCCCTACCAGAGCCAGGTATACTTCCTTTTTAAGAGAGAAGGCAAAACAGAGCAGCATTACTAGGATTTGTAAGCAAAAACTTGTTAAATGAAAGAGACATTCCACGAAAATTCAGGAAATTTTATGGTTAGACTACTCAAGTGTTAGCTTTTTAATTTTCTTTGTAGTTTACATACCTTTTATTAAAATGGGTCATAAGTTCATATTAACAAGTGACCTCCTACTAAATATCCAGACTCCTACTAAAATTCCATGTCCCTGGGCCTCTGGCTTAGCTGCCTGAGCTGCACGCCCTGTCTGTTATCCTGGAGATCCAAACTGTGAGTAGAGTTAGCAACTGTTCCCTTCTAGAAAGAGTCCCATCTAAACTAGTAGATAGTCTCCTTATCTCTGAGCCTTGTAAAAGAAAACATTTTTTTCTTCTGAAGGTACCTGGATGGAGGCTGTCCAGGAATTACAGATAGTTCCTGAGTTACAAACATCCAAATGGCATCCAACTCACACTTACAAATGGAGACTATCATAGGCAACAGGTAAATGTAACTGTTCCCACTTAAAAATGTGACTTAAGAACAAATCTACAGAACCTGTCTCACTCTTAACTCAGGGAATGCCTGTAGAGCAATAAAGATCATGTCTGCTCTGACCCAGATCCAATGTAGCCTTTGTTTTGTTATAGTAAATAATCAACAGAAGACATAGAGGTTTATTTGACTTGTTTTATTCATTAGCATCTTCTGGGTACACCCTAGGGCTGCTAAAGAACATGCATAACTTTGTTTTTTTGAGATGGAGTCTTATTCTTTTGCCCTGGGTAGAGTGCCATGGCTTCATGGTAGCTCACAGCAACCTCAAACTCTTCGGCTCAAGAGATTCTCTTGCCTCGGTCTCCCAAGTAGCTGAGACTATAGGTCTACATGTGCCCACCACAATATCCAGGTAGTTTTTCTATTTTTAGTAGAGATGGAGTCTGACTATTGCTCAGGCTGGTCTCAAATTTCTGAGGTTCAAACAATCCACCAGCCTTGGCCTCCCTGAATGCTAGGATTACAGGCGTGAACCACCACGCCTGTCCATACATAACATTTAAACATGTGGGCTCGGCACCTGTGGCTCAAGTGGCTAAGGTGCTAGCCACATACACCTAAGGTGGCGGGTTCAAATCCAGCCCGGGTCCGCCAAACAACAATGATGGCTGCAACCAAAAAATGGCTGGGCGTTGTGGCGGGCGCCTGTGGTCCCAGCTACTTGGGAGGCTAAGGCAGGAGACTCACTTGAGCCCAGGAGTTGGAGGTTGCTGTGAGCTGTGATGTCACAGCACTCTACCCAGGGGGATAGTTTGAGGCTCTGTCTCAAAAAAAAAAAAACAAAAAAAAAAACATTTAAACATGTGTGTGTGTATATACAATCGCACACAAATTTATAAGATGGCATTGTGATTATGAGACAGAAATTTTTCTTTTTTTTTTGAGACAGAGTCTCATTTTGTCACCCTTGGTAGACAAGGGTGCTTGTCTTGTGTCACAGCTCACAGCAACCTCCAGCTCTTGCGCTAGGGCAATTCTCTTGCCTCAGCTTCCCAAGTTGCTGGGACTACAGGTGCCTGCCACAACGCCAGCCTATTTTTGTTACAGTTGCCACTGCTGTTTTAGGTGCCAAGTTCGAACCCATCACCCTTTGCATATGGGGCCAGCATCCTACACACTGAGCCACAAGTGCCACCCGAGACAGAATTTTTTATTTTTTGGTTTCACTGCAACTCACTTGCAAATGGCTCAATCAATCATAAAATATAGCAACATTTTAACAGCTGAATATAAGTGGTGGGTACGTGAGTAATCACTCTACTCATCTTCATTTTTCTGTTTTTTTCGTTTTTTTGAGATAAAATGTATGTCTCCTTTGGTAGAGTGCCTGGTGTCACAGCTCACAGCAGCTTCAAACTCTTGGGCTTAAGTGATTCTCTTGCCTCAGCCTCCTAAGTAGCTGGGACTACAGGCATCTGCCACAACACCCAACTAGGCTATTTTTTAGTTGTCATTGTTGTTTAGCAGGCCCAGGCCATGTTAGAACCACCAGCCCCAGTGTATGTGCCCAGTGCCCTAACAGCTGAGTATGGATGCTGAGCCATTTTTCCGCATTTTTTAAAGATCACAATAAAAAGAAAAATTATGTAAGTAGGAAATAAAATACAAGCATCTCAAAAAATTACTACTACTTATAGGAGTAGCATCTATTATCAGGAACATTAAACAACAAGGTACCATATATATATATACAAAAAATGGGTACTCCTAATCACTAATCTATCAAGGAAACCTGAGTAGAATTCCAAACCAAACAGAAACAGATAACTGGAATTTCATAGAAATATCAATGGAATGCTATGGGCACTTAAACTAAAGGATTTCAAAACGCATGCCTCACAATCCCCTAAATAAATCTCAATCTTCTATGGAAAAGAGAATAAATAAAAATGTATTAGAAAATTAATTGGAGACATGGAGAAGCATTTTCTTTCTTTCTTTCTTACTGTCTTTCTTTCATTTTTTTGTTCTTCCAGAGAGTTTGCTGGCGTAAAATTATTTTAAGTATCAGATCAATCAATTATTATATTTGTCTCATATATATATGTCACAAACTAATTCCCTGGTGGCCAAATCTGGTGTGTAATACATTAGAGAAAAAAAATTAGTTGCTAACATTTAAACAGAAGACTCCATGTAAAAACCTGGGTCTATACTCCCTTATAGCCATGAGTGGCTTAATCTAAAATGAGCAAGGACTCTCCAGCAGGCCACAGTTGCCATCTAATCTGCTTTGTTCACTTACATTATTTGCCAATGTCTATTATTTTATTTTATATTTCTATTCTATTTTATTCTTTTTTTTGAGACAGAGTCTTATTCTGTTGCCATGCTAGAGTGTAGTGGTGTCATAGCTCACAGCAATCCTCCTGCCTCAAAATCTCAAGTAGCTGGGAGTACAGATGCCTACCACGAAACCCTCCAAATTTTTGTATTCTTAGTAAAGACAGGGTCTCACTCTTGCCTCGGCATTCTAGACTGCTAGGATTTTAGTTGCGAACCACCTCTTCCAGCCTCTACCTTTTTTGATTTTCTATTTAAGTTTTCAACTCCTACCCTTTTATCTTGTGTCCTCTGGCTTGGGGTGTTAGTCTATATTCTATCTCAGAAGCCAAAGGACAGTTTTTACCCAGGTAACTTCTCAAGTCTGTGTGTTGCCTTAGGTATCTGGGTTGTCCCCTCTCAGTCATGTTGTCCATCTGCCCAATACCATCCATGACAGGGCACTAAAAGTATTTATTTATACATATAGGGTGTCTATAAAGTTTGTGTGCAATTTAAAATAGAAAATTATTTTAAATTGTGTAAAATCCTGCATAAAAAAACTCCTTTATTTTCAGAGATGTCACTTTTAAAGAACAAAGAAAAATACTAACAACGCTAAGAAATTCATTGTTATAGCAACAACATGAGTTATAGATTACTGTTTTTAGAAAACTCTCCTTTCATCAAGGTGTGTAATCCTAGCCCTTTGGGAAGCCAAGGTGAGAGGCTCTCTTGAGGCCAGGAGTTCAGGACCAGCCTGGGCAACATAGTAATACCCTGCCTCTACTTAAAATTAAAAAAAAGAAAGAAGAAAAAAGCTGGGTATAGCAGCATGTGCCTATAGTTCCAGCAATTCAGAGGCTGAGAAAGAAGCATTGTTTTAAGCTGAAGAGTTCAAGGCTGCAGTGAGCAATGCTCGTACTGCTGCACTCCAGCCTGGGTGACAGAGTGTGCCTTGTCTGGAGGCACACAAAAAAAATCAGCCATGTGTAGTAGTGTATACCTGTAGTCCACTCTGGAGGCTGAAGTGACAGAGCTGAAGATTAGAGTGAGCCGCCTGTAATCCTAGCACTGTGGGAGAATGAGGCAGTTGGACTGTCTGAGCTCACAGTTTCAAGACCAGTCTGAGCCAAAGTGAGACCTTGTCTCTTAAAATAGCCAAGTGTTGTAGCAGGTGCCTGTAGTCCCAGCTACTTGGGAGCCTGAGGCAAGAGAATCACTTGAGCTCAAGAGTTAGAGGTTGCTGTGTGGGCAACAAAGTGAGACTCTGTCTCACACACACACAAAAAAGGAAGATTATAGTGAGCTATGATTGTGCCACTGTACTCCAGCCTGAGTGGCAGTGTGACCTTGTCTCTTAAGACTAAAACAAAAACCCTCCTTTGCTTTCTTAAATTATCAAAATTGGTGAAAACAGTCACAATTAAGGATTAACTTCATAAATGCTAGAGAATAATTTCTGAAAGGAATCTACTAAATATGCAGAAGGTAAAAAACCTTAAAAATGTATAACTGAGGGAAAAACCCCTCAGTATCATAGAGGCAATTTCTTCTAACTACCAGGGCAAGTCAATTCATACCTTAACAGTCAAATTACCCTTTTTAGAGGTCACTAGGACTGCAGAAGACACATTTTTTTTTCCTTAGGCAGCAACAATATTATGGTGTAAAATGATCTACCAAGAAGCAAAAAAGCTAACACAGTATGATAATAAATAATTCAGTAAAAAGC